AGACAAGTTAGGTTTTTGAAGAAAACGAATTCATACAAGTTATGCGGTAAAGGCTTATCCTATACTAGATGTCTAGAATTATTCAAAGCATGTTTGAAAGATTTAGGTTATGACGAAAAGCTTTATGGTCTGCATAGTCTTAGGTCAGGGGGTGCAACGTCGGCAGTTAAGAATAATCCAAATTTATCTGAAAGAGTGTTAAAATTGCATGGACGCTGGAAGTCCGACACAGCGAAGGACATGTACGTTTTAGAGGACGTTGAGAAAAGGCTTTCCTTAACAAAAAATCYGGGTTTGATTGAATAGTAATAAGCYAATTTGGAGAAGAYGATATTAAGGTTGAYATATGTAWAGAGTTTAGGGTTCACAATCTTTCACAGATGTAATACATAACGCGTGAATTATAATATATATGATATGTATAGTATTTAAGGTTTCCTTTCATCAYAGATGTAATACATAACGCGTGAATTATAACACTATTGTATCATATTATTGTACTACAATAGAATAAATCACAAGTTGTTCGATTGCCTGAGCAACCAAACCATCAAAAATCGATCGTTATTTACTGTGTTAATATAGAGAGAAAATAATTTACGTTCGTTTGAACAAAGTGAATTAGAACGTAAATATATTCGCTCGCTACCGTACTATTACATTGTAATATTTGATACATAGTTCATTGTGTGGTTAGACATCGATAATACTATTTTGAGCCGCTACGGAAACTGGCAAACGATAAAAACAAAAAAAGCAACGGTGCGTATAGTTGGTCGGGGATTCAATTGAACCAACTTTCAGTTGTTTAATTCACCGTTACGGAGTAAGCATTCTTAAAAGAATTGCTGGAAAAAATAATAAAAAATAATAATAAAGAACAAAAAAATGAAAAAAAAMCATATGATATCATTAGGGATTCGAACCGTGACCTCTTGATAGAGTGCATGTCATAAATGTGTGAAACAATAGCGWAACTATTTTTTGGGCGTATCGGTATTAAGTTGCATAGCTGCTAACTTCGTAGTTATTTTCTTCATATAAGAATTGATTCAGGCGTAAAAACAAAGACACAAAGAAATCAAAGATAGACGCATTTTAATGCAAGAATGTGGTATATTTTCACATGTTTTATTTGAGTGATAGAGTCATAACACTTGTACCGTGAAATATGATCAAAATAAACAGTAAATATTAGTGGCTATTTATTG